TCTATGATGAATCCTTTGTTAGAAGAAGAGGAAGAAGAAATGGACGAAAGAGCCGATGAAGAACTTGAAATGAGAGCTCAAGAGGAATTAGAATTGAGATTGAAAATTGGCCCTAATACTCCACCAGATCCACCTACCTCACCACCAACTTCTCCCGATGCGTATGATCCATTCGATCCCACGAAATCTCGATCACCGACACCTGATGTAAGCCAAGAAGCTACGTCGAACGACGAGAGAGATAAAAGTCAAAGAAATTCACCAAGAAGTCACGATGCTACCGACATCAATTTAATGCCCGACGAACCTATGCAGCAACAAGATCAGCCAACACAAGAGAAACAACTTGAAAAGCCGAAAATAATATCTATGGTAACGATTAAAAGAGCATCGCCAAAAAGAGATTCATCACCGGTTGCAGAGAGTCAAACGGATACGGTACAATCTTGTAGTAGTCCACCTAAAATACAACAGAATCAACAAAATCCACAATCTACGAGTAATCCGTTCACTACTATTAATCCTGTCCTGGCAACTGTTGCTGCTGCAGTACAGAGAAGCACTGGATTTAGTACACCTAATACAAGTCAACGTAATTTAATACAGGTTTGTATATCACATAATATGCTTCTATTTTGTAAATATTATTTACATGTATATAATATTCGACTAATATATTTGTTTTTGTGTTAACAATTTGGTCTGTTTAGTCAAATCGCATTTCACCAAGTAATCAAATGAAACAACAACGGACGAGCGATAGACCGCAGCTTCCTAACATCTTTACAAATAGTACAAAATCGACATTAACGCGTGCTTCCAAATCTAATCAAAATAAAAACAGTTCTACCATGGGACAAAATGGCAGTGATGCAATAATGGAAGTGACCAATGATGCCGTTGATATGTCTTCACCTTATTCGCCAGGATCGAGTTTAAGCGATGGCATGTTCGATCCACCTAGTCCAGGAAATTATAATAGTCCTTCTATTCAACCAGTTATCACTAATAATAAGAATAATGCATCTAAGCCAAATAAAAGTACTGAGAAGAAAGATGCTTTTGATGCGTTGTTCGCGGCAGGACCACCTCCAAAGGCAGTTAGTAAAAGCAGGAATAAAAAACCTAACGAAAAGAAAAAGAAATGTGTGTAATCCTGTGAATATATTTTTAAATATTTATTTATACATATATGTAAAAAGAAAAGAAAATATTTTATATAAAATTTATTATATTTTAGCTACTAACCCAAAAGTTGGAGTACGCATGGACGAAAATCAACTTCAAATTTTGGATGATCTTCCTAGTTCAGCTGTAGAAATGCAAGTGAAAGATAAGGTTTGATATTTAGTTTATTATTATAAATGTTGTATAAATTTCCTGATCATGTATTAAGCATATATTTTAGTTCTTGAAGAAATTAAATCGTCAAGAAAGAGTAGTAGAAGAAGTAAAGTTAGTGTTAAAGCCTCATTATACCAAAAAGCACGTAACAAAAGAGGAATATAAGGATATTATGCGAAAAGCTGTACCGAAGGTAAAATCTAATTATTATAAAAAATGAATTGAAATTTGACCATATAAAAGATATTAAAAATTGTATTTTCTTTCTTTTTCTTTTTTTTTTAGATATGCCATAACAAAACGGGAGAAATAAATCCTAAGAAGATAGCACATTTAATAGAGGCATATGTAAAGAAACTTCGAAACAGTAGAAAACAAAAAGTATCTTTGACTTCAACATCAAAGGCCTCGAAACCGGCGTAAGTCACACATTGTTATTAATAAATTATATCGACTAAAAAAAAAATAGCGTGTATTAAAACTTTAAATCTCAGCCGATTATTAAAGTATATATTAATGTCCTTATTTAACGTTCTTCAGGAAAACGCTGTGGAGTTGATCATATGTTGGAAATGTTAGTGCATGAACAATTTCTTAAGTCGTAGGCCTCTCCGTAAATCACAATTAAGCACATTTTATCGTCCGGGTTGTAAGTGAGTAAGTGTTTTTGGATATCATCACACTCCGTCAACAACCACCGAATAATGTGTATTATGTGTAAATACTTAATTCACTAATTTTAAGCGTAATATTTTTATTTATCTACGTAATTCTTTACACGAAAATACACGAACATACATAATAATATTAATTATAATGAACGTCGGAGTTAAATATAAAATTATTATGAAGTTTAATGTGTAGACATCATGGGGTTTATATTCAATCTGCACATTTGAAAAATCTATATGATCGTTCTCTTATAGTATCTTTGTTTGTATCTCGAAATAGATGATACTAGCATTTTTACACACATCATATGTGTTATGAATGCAGACCATTATTATGATCTACATTTAAGATTTAGGGAGTGTAAAAATAAGGTCATATTTAATATACGTTCATGCTCGCAACAAATGATGAGGTTAATAAAATGCTCATAATATTCATGTCGCTATTTATAGAAGAGGAAGCAATTTAATTGGTCAGTCTTTTCTGTATAGTCTGATATGTAAAATTATTAAATTCCTAAGATAATTAATATTAATAATACAATTATTATTATTACTATTACTATTATTATTATTATTACTATTATTATTATTATAATTATTATTACTATTACTATTATTACTATTATTATAATTATTATTATTATTATAAAAAAGAAAATATGGCCTGCGTCCAGAAAATTTTTCATAAGATTATTTTATTTCCAATTAATTAGGAAATGAAGAACTTCATTCACACTACAACATAATTTCATTGAGAACAAATACGATTAAATAGCTTACATTGATATATACATGTTCGTTGGTTAAACAGTTCAGATGTATATAAAAGATCGTGTATAGAACTTCTTAATGTTTAATATACGAATCTATTAGAAAATTAATGTTTTTACTTTGTAACATTAAGTGTTTCATTTGAGATAAACAGAATTTGTTTTCCTTTCTGTTTTATTTCAAAATAATATATACATATTATATTATATCTGATAATTTGTATTACAATATTGACTTATTTTCTTACGCTAACATAAATTATGAAAATGTTTTAAATAAGTATATATAGTCAAATTCTGTTATTTAAAATATGCATTCGACACGAAAATTAAACGAACGTGCACCATAATAAAGCTTTCAAATAACATCTATTTCTATCTCTATCTCTCTTTTTAAAATAAAATACATATTTGTTCATGGATAAATGATGTTATTTATATACTGAAAGTCTTTGCTTCTTGCAATAAAAAACATGAAAAAAAAAAAAAAAATAAATTATGGACAATTATTAGCTCTTATGAGGTTATATTTATTAAAATAAATTATAACGCAAGATAAATTAAAAAATTGTATAGTTACTTTTTTAAATATCTAAAAACATATATATTCTATTCATTATGTACAACAATAACAAAAAAATAGATTGATTAATATTCTACAGATATTCTACATATTCCAAAACTTACTTTTTATTTCATAAAAGGATAGAGAGAGATCTGTAGATTTTGTACGTTCTAATTAAGATGAAATTAAAAATTTCTGATCCCTTTTGTGAATTATAATATGCGTTAAATATGCGAAATGTGTTTTATTAGAGAATACAAATTCATAAATCCACACTTTATAATATTAAAAATGAATTTTTATCTCTATTCACTGATATGTGTAGAAACTGTTTGACATGGGCAGTATGTGCATGAACACATTTTTGTACTAAATATAATGATGTATATATAAATGAACGAAAATAAATGACAAAAAATAAAACATTTAATATCGATTAACGTCCTAACATTACTTATTCGTTTAAATAATTTCTTTTCATTTGTACAATGTTGCAAACAGTATTCATAACTGTTTAATTATCGCGGTTAAATGATCAGCCAATCACATGAATCAACCACCATGATCATTATAAAAATTTTTTATTCATCTAGTGACATATATATAAACGCCGTTATTAAATTATATGTTTATTTAGTCATCATCAACTTTTTTAATATTCAGTTGAAATTAAAAGAAAGGTTATATAAAAATTATTAGATATAAAACAATATCAAATTTTGTTAGTGCATACAATTTTTGTATGGTACATTGTTTACATTTAATCAATCAAATTTACGCGCCAATAAATCATTTATTTAAATAATAATTATTCGATTAAAACGAATACTAACATTATAATATTAATTTCTAAGTTACTTTCATAAATTATACATTTTCGAATTATTTTAATGAATTATAATAAAATTGTCTTATCACAAGAATTATGGGTTTCTGTAAGCACGTGGTAAGCGATCAATATTACTAGCAATGTAAATGTGTATCTTGGCATTTGAAAATAACGCAATTATTATTGAGTCAATTGGGAATATTCTTTCATTACATTTTTGATTTTTTCAACAATAATCTATAATGAAATTTACTCTTATATAAATAACGAAATAAATTTCAATTGTTAAAAAATTTTTTTCTCGTCGATAACATAGGGTGTGACAAAAATGATAAAAAGAAATATTACGAATTGTCTCATTACGAAGAAATATTTTAATTGTCTCTCTCTCATAAATAATGATATTATATATTTTAAATATCGATAAAAATATAATAATCGATAACAAGATTGAATATTTTAAAATCCATAATAAATTGGAATGGTATATGAAACATGAAATACAGGAACAGGAAATATAATATCGTTTGTGTGATTACAAATATTTTGTAAGAAAAAAATTAGGAATAATTAAATTTTGTATTTTTATCTTGCGAATTATCTTATCGACAGTTTATAAATCTTAAGAGAAAGTTCAGAAGAAATTTCATCTATAGCTAGACGGCGTTCCTTCATCATCAGCTGTAATAATCTAACTTGGGGTGGGAGATACAGACAATGTTGACATGCGATAAAATCAATCTAATTAGTAATAATTATTTCATCGTAGAATTAATAACAAATTATATATGAATTGATTGTTATTCAATTGTTTATTTCTAGCTTAGATAATATGACTGATAAAGAAATAAAAGTATAAAAATATTTAGTCAAATGATTCTTTCTTTAAACAGAATTTGTCCAACCTATTGCATCCAACATGGCGGTATATTAGTTGGTTGGTTCTCGAAAAGTTTCGTTTAATATGGATTTAGTCGGCTTTCCGTGCGCATCTTCATTTGTTTTATTTTCCAGAAAATAACAAGATTGGTAAGATTGTCGTTTGTTAAATGCAGAAAATCTAAATTATCAGGAAAAGAAACGACGCGTGGTAGATGAACGTGGAATTCGGTTAGACACGACAACTGAATCACGTTAGAGCTCGATTGATTTAGCAGTTATTTTTCCTCTTATCTACATTTTTTTCTAATAAAACAAGGAGACAAGAGACACACCTTTGTGATGTTTGTTAAACGACAATTTTTAAAATACTTTCTAATGGTAAAATATAAAATTCGACAGACAGATAGACGCAGCTGAAAATAGATTAATAAATCTATTTCATAAGTCACATTTGTCTTTAAAGGAAGTTACTATTTGTGAACAGTGAAAATACGAATATTTAGACACGTGTTATACCTTTACATAAGTATTGAAGATATCAAAGTACTTGCAATTTTGCAATGATCTGAAATAAATAAGAATTTGATAAGATAAAAACAACTTACTTTTAAGAGGAATTATTTTTTGTTCATGAAATATAACTACCACAAATGTAATAAGAAAGTGAAGAATTTATTCTATCACCACAACAAATCTTTATACCAATGTTTGCAAATAATATAGGAGAAATAAATAATTGTATAAGACAAATATATTATCATTAAAAGTGACTGATATAATTTACATGAGACTGCTCTTATAGTTAATAATATTTATATGCATACACACAAAAGTGTCGATTTGATCAATCATTGTGTTCTTAGAGAAAAGAAACACATAGTTTATGTGTTATTAAATATTCTAAAATAGTATAGTTTGAGAATAGTCATTCTTTTTACAGATTATATAAGTATTATTAAGTAATTTATAAATAATGGCTGAAACGCAAAGAATGACTGTTTATGGAAGGTATCCTCCATGTGCAACTGCAACTAGATTAGAAGAACGTCGTGCGAGGAGGTAGATACATTTATTTTTAATATTTATTGTTTGGTCATTTTTTATTGTAGATATTGTAAGGTCCTCCTTCTATTTATTATTTTAATATAGATTTATTTTATCATATAGGTTAGCTCTACGATTAGAAAGAAACAGAAAACCAGACAAGCCTGAAGATTTTGTATGCTATGAATCAAGTGATGATGAAAGTGAAACTATTACCGAAGGAAGGCAATTTTTAAGAACATCTTTTAACTTTGTCGATTATGTACGTGCAAGAGAAACCAACACTAAAGAAGTACGGAAAATTAATCAGGAATATGGATCAAGACATATACTGACGCATGATTTATTCAAAGAATACTCAGTTAGCTTAAATAATATGAATAAAGTATTTTGCTCGCAATGGCTGAGTGATAGACAAGTTGTGTTTGGTACAAAATGTAATAAACTAATGGTTTATGATGTAGCAACACAAAAATTAGATCAAATACCATCCCTACATGGTAGACAATTAAATCCAGGTGGAGGTCCACTTCCTGATCAGCAATGTGGTATACATTCTGTTCAAATTAATCCTTCTAGGTAATCATTTAATGTTTTAAATATTGATATACGTTGCCATTGTCTGTACCAGGTTTTTACTTCTGTTCTATTTTATAACAACATTCTTGTAGGACTCTTCTGGCTACTGGAGCAAAAAATAGCAATGAAATAGCAATTTACAGACTACCAACATTGGATCCAGTTTGTGTTGGAGAATCTGGTCACAGAGATTGGGTTTTTGATATGTGTTGGCTAGATGATGAATTTTTAGTTTCTGGTTCTAGAGATACAAAAATGGCTTTATGGCGAATTGATAGTGATCTAGCTGAAGCACCTGATAAAGCGGATGTGCCTACACACAGGTTAATTGAAAATGTTTTACAAAAGAAAATAATTGATAATAGAAATGCTCTTTACTTTTGGATATATTGTCTATTAATTATTTTTATATGATTGATAGATTAATTCAACCTTTGTGCGTGAAAGAATGTAGATCTGCGCAGAAGGTTCGAGCAATTGCTTTTAATAAAGCATATAACGAAATAGCTGCTCTATCTTTAAATAGTTTCATACATATCTGGTCTGCTGATTCTTTTAAGCAAAAAATATCACGAAAGTTACCAGCTTGTCAAGAAAATGTTTGCCTGGCAGTACAAGATGATGGTGTTTATGCAGTTGGTTGTCGTTCTTATACATTATTGTTGGATGCCAGAACTTTACAGCCAATTAAAAAGATACCCTCAAGGTATATTCTAATAACTTATGAATATCTTACAATACGTCGACAGATTAGCATATCAAATTACGATGTTCTTTCTTTTTAAACAGATATAGCGGCTGTGGTATCCGATCAGCCAGTTTTCAAGGATCAGTTTTAACAATCGGAACTGGTCTAGGAATGCTTATGTTTTACGATCTTAGAGCTCAAAAGTACCTTGAATCATCTATCAATTCTAATAGAACTGTCGCATTGAAGGCTTCAAAAGGATATGTGGTAAGTTTGTGAATATTTTAATGTTATTATTTAATAGTAAAAAATATCATACAATAATATCTTTTATTTTGGGTAATCAGTTTCCAGATGAAGAATATATAGATGGTTTCCAAAATGTTAAATATACTCCAGCTATATACACCCATTGTTACGATGCATCAGGTACTCGATTATTTACAGCTGGTGGACCACTTCCCGCAAACTTGTATGGAAATTATGCAGGATTGTGGCAATGAAAATATAAAGATTAAATAAAGTAAACTAGATTATCATTCGATTATTATTAATATTAAATAAATATGACAAATTTCATATTTATACACATGGTGGGTACATTATAATAACAGGATATTGAAATATAAAATGGGAAGATAAGTGAGAGAAATGATAAGGAGATGACTGATGATTCTTTAAGCTTTCTTCTGCCATACACATATTATGCATAATTGAATAAATAAATCTTCATACTCGCTTATCTACTCATACATATTATCAAATAAACAAGATTTTATTAATATAGTTAGGAATATATCTGAACGCAATGTCCTTCTAGACCTTTATTAATGTTGTTTGTACTGCAATTGGCTGAGATATTATATTGTAAGCACTTATTATATTGCACTAGCCCTTTATTATTAAACTAAAATAAAATTATAATCTATCAATTTTTCATCGTGCAGTTAGATAACAAGTAATTCAGGTCTGGATTGATGATCATATTTGTACTTATCATATGGTCATTGATGAGTAACACGAAGTTGATTATTCATAGTATGATACGAAAAAACATTCAAATGTTCGCACATCCTTTTGCACAATAATAAATATCAAATGTTCCTACGAATTGATAATGATATAATCAACTTCAAATTATTCATTATTCTAGCTCAAAGTAACGTGTCGAGGGCATAGATTTTTAACTCTATGAATAATAAGAAATAAAAATAACAAAACAACAAAGCATGTTTTTTGTATTGTATATAAAAACAGTTAAGAATTATAATTATAATTTAAATATTTATTAATTCCTGACACATTTATAATTGATATTTTGCATATTCAGTGGAATGTAAGCGAAAATGTGTATCAATAATATTCGTCAACGAATAATATGACAATGAATATATGTATAAAATTTTAAGTACAATTTATTCGGCTAAAACAAACAATATTGTTGGCCCTAAAATAATGCATACATTAAAGTTTTGTTGAAAAACTGGATATGTCAATGTCATTGTACTTATCACATCTCTTATAGTAATTATACAGACCAATAATTATTATTTACGTGATTAAATCTTTCAATTTTCTCTTTTTCTCTCTCATATACTTGTCTTATAATAAAATAAGCTTAAAAACTATTACCACATATTTCTATGTAATATCATTTAATTAATACAAACCAGGGTAATAAAATCTTTTCCATATGCTCAGTATATATATATATATATATATCTTATGCAATTTTAATAAGTTTATTATCGATTAAGCGAATTTTTTTTTTTTTATTATCTCACTATCAAAATTTTAGTTTAGTTTATCTCACTATCAAAATAATTTGCGTTGTATAGATTTGTAATAGGATACCATATGCTACCAATTAATTTTTTATTCCGTTTTACACGAATAATATTATTGACAAACTATATATTAAAATAAGAACGTCATTACTACTATTATTATTAATATTTTTTATTTTTATTTTATGTAATTTATCATTTTGTATTTTGAAGTTTGGTTTTTTTTTTTTTTTAACAGAATTCAATTTGAATTAAATTAATATTAATTTGTTATATAAATTAACGATAAGGAATAATTATATTTGTTAGTGTTTGATTAAATTTATTTTAATCATACATTTAGCAAATTCAACATTATGCAAAACTTATGATTTTCGTGAATTTTATATATATATATATTGTAATAATAAAATATATATGCGAGTCATGGTTTTGTTAAAAAATGTACTTTCTAATACTTTTCTAGTTAATAAAATAAAAAAATAAATTTAATTATTAAAGAACGATAACGTTACGCATACAAAAAATTACACGTTACCGTTGTATGTTTTACTTTAAGTTAATCATTTAAAATTGAAAGTATTTTAATTGTATTATTCAATTTTTGTTCCGCTATATGTCTTTTCTCTACTTTTGTTTTTTATATTAAATGTTAGTAAAGGGTATAACAATAATAATAATAATAAAAAAGGAACAGAAGGTTTCGCGTTTATAAATAATTTATTGACCATTGGTAAAACATTTCGCTATATAGATAATCATCATAAATAACGTGTAAAGAGAGGAGGTGTATACTGTATATAAAATGCGTATTCTTAAAACCGATAATTTTCAGTATAATATACACATTATAATTATCCTTGAAATATATATAAATGTGTTTGTTATTAAATTAAGATATGTGGTGATTATCATTTATAAAATGTCTATCGCGTGGTGAATGTGTTATTCTTTATTTTTCTTTATTTTTTTCTTTTTCTTTTTAATGTGCAGTAATTACGTGCGTCTCCATTACCTTTCAAGGACCGTCAAAAATTCGAACTTTCGCGACAAGTGTAAATTATTATAATATTAATTCATAATAATTCCTAACAATTAGGCGCGCGAATAAATATAATTTGTTTACATAATATACATATATTTCTATATATATCGATATTCTTAATTTAAGCAGAGTATTGAACGATTATTGCAGAAATCAATAGATACGTTCATCGATCGTAAAACTAGAGTAGCGATCACGTATGTATTATGTATACGTGTGCGTGTATACGGAAAATATATCGTTTTTTTTTATTTTTTCATAAGTTATCTTAAAAAAAAAAAAAAATCGACTACCGGTGGCGTGCGGTATATTTCATGCGTAAATTTTAAGAAAATATCACTAAAAAAATAATGCACAGGCAGAACAGTTTGCCAAAAAAAAAACAGGACACTTAAGAAAATATTACAATCAATCTTCTGTGTGACAAATCTACGTTAAAATTATTGATCCAACCGATCTTTGTGTTCTTGGCATTTTTATTTTTTTATTTTATTTAATATCGATGGTGTACAATGGAATCTACAAAAAGTCAAAGATGTCCAGCATCTAAGGCTTTGTTTATATCACTGACTAGCATGCCAAGGATTGGTCTGTGTTCAGAATCTTGTCTAAAGACCGCGTCTAAAAATTCAGGATTTCTTAGAAAATCGAAAACTTGATCGCACCGATCCTGAGATTTATCTGTTAAATGTGGTTTTATAAGACCCTGTATCGCAGATCTACAACGTTCGAGGGATCGAGTTAAATACGCTTTGTCGAAACTAAACTCGAGTTCGTAGAAGGAGACAACAGCCATTGCTACTGCTCTCAAAGCTGTCCTGATCTCAACAAGTTTTGCATCATCTGCTGGACCGAGTTGTTGATTACGTTGCAACAGTCCAACCTGTGTGTATTAAAAAGAGTGAACGAACGAGATCTACAAATGAAGCCATATTAGATATATTGCATTAATCATTTGCGTTTGAATTAATTGACTCAAGACTGTTGCATACCCTCCTCAACGAGTTTCTTACATTTTGCAATCTGAGAGAAGAACTCTGAACTGAATTGTAAATAAGATACAATTGTCATCTCTCTTTATATAGTCTGCTTAAATATCAACATTTTAAAATTACATTCATTTATTCCAACGCAAATAATTAATTCATTAAAAAATATATTTCATCTTTGTTCTATCAAATTTACTTTCAATTTATATACGAATAATTAATATTATATTAAAATATAAATGTTGTATGTGTAAATACGAGCAAAACAAAAAACGCACAAATAATTGTGGTATCATTTTAAATAGAACGAAAAGTATGTTTACCTTGATGGATAATTTAACAATATTCTTAAGAACTTTCTCTGGTTGTTTTTTATCCAAGTTTGTATTATTCTTCGTAGCTCTTTCCATCAACTTGTAGAGATTGTCTAAGAGTGAAGTGGTCGCGTCATCTATTAAGAGAGATCTTCCAGCATTAGTGGAGACCACTCGTCCTAATAGCTTCTTCTGTGCACGAAGACCCAAGTCTCGAGCACGACTTCCGGTCCCCCCGGCAGGATAAGTTCCACCACCACCAATTGTAGCTGCAGACTGCATCACTATATAATTTATTTTAACTATTATTTAATAACAATTTTATAATTTCAATATACATAGGGTACATTACTTTTTCAACAATGTAACAGGAAATACGTGTTCGTTTATTAGTTCCATAAAGATGTCATTTCAAAATGTCTTACGGTTGAACTTGCAAAAGAAATCAAGTTGAAAGAATAACAATAGGTGGTTAAATGCAACACACCCTTCCGGTTGTACATTAATTTGAAAGTTCTACTTATTATCAAAATAAAATATATTCACTTACTTTCTACTTTGAACTACATACATTTATGTAATTATTTTCTTCTAAAAAAAGGTAATAAAATAAAATTAGAAATGAAGAAAAATTTCATTCAAAATTTCATCAAAGAAATTTAATGAAATGATTATTTTTAATTTATTTTTAAACGTTTATTCTTCCTTTTCTTCTTTTTTTTCTTGAGAAATCATTAATTACAAACTGATAGCCTTATATTTATATATTGATTTCTTGCAGGATACATATACCAGATTACAATAAATGCTAGTTGATAAAACGAACTCACCATCAAACATTGGTAAACCGCAGTTTCCTCTTGACGATAACGGGATTGGAAATTAAATAACAAAAAAGGCAGTGGACTGTGAACGTTGGCCAAACTCAGATAAATCTAACTAAAATATAATGTATGAGAAAATAATTAATAACGTGAATGAGAGAGACGTAAAAAAGAAAGAAACAGAACTCGTATATATTAAACGATAACAAAAAAAGGGAAATGAATAAGTTCGATCAAAACTTATGATAAAATAAATCATTCAAATGAGAATATACTTATTTGACATGCAATCCAGTAAATTAATAAAAACGAAAAGAACGATGACACAATTCGATCAATCGATCAATCAATACAAATATTGAACAAAAATATTCGTCACATGCAAAAGAAAACCAAAAATAGCAAATAGAAGCAAATAATGAATAAGACAAAGTTAACGTTGAAAATTTGAGACGCAGTATGATGAAGAGAGAGTGTGCGCGTTAAATAGATCTCATCTAATGTATGACGGAAGTAGCTGTATACCTTGATTGCAGTCGGTTACAGCTACGAGATGGTAAAGTAACCAGCTCTGTAATTCCATTACAGCCGTGCCCCACGCCACCTAAAAGACATAGAGCTTTTCTAAGCAATTATGAAGCATGTAATGAGTAAAGTCAATGCTCTGAAAAACCGCGAGGTAATTTATAAAACGATGAAACGCATATAACGAATAAACATATTTATTTATATATACATATATATATGTATATAGTATATCTGTATGTGTGTGTTTATTTCTACATATATTCTACATTACAAAGGAGAAATATACGTGATTACACACATACATACGTACAAGCTTATCACCACGTTTGCTGGTTTTAATCGACGGTCAGACTAATCAACTAATCGGCTCGTAGCCTCGAACGATAGTTTAGAAATACTATTCTCCACAGTTTCTCAACTATTGTCATACTTTTATTAGATTTTTCTATAGAAATATTTCTTCAATTAATTTTCGATCAATGTATTTAAGAAACTTTATATTTTTAAGTAAAAAATTGTTAAAGAGTAAACATTTTAAAGTCTCGAAAACTTGCAATATGAGATCTAACACGAGTTATATATAGGATATTTTAATCTTATTAAAACAAGAACAAAATTGTTAAAATTTGAACAAGATTTTGTGGTAATATATAACTCGATAAATATTGTTTTATAATAATAATCGTTAATAAAATTAATTGGTACTATTAATAATATTTTCTTTACTATTAGTCATCATATTATTGAAATAGCTAACTTTTCGTGTAATTTAATTTCAATTAATATTGTCACAAATACAAATATGTTTTCAATTAATCTTTTTATTTTTCCAACGTTAACATATTATTATTATTATTATTATTATTATTATGTTCTCTCTTTCATGTGTTTGCTTTTTCTATTTGCAATTTCTTAAGTGAACAACGATGTACTCTTCTCTAAGAGACAACACTTCTTATATTCCTTCGATAAAATTCGTATTATAGATAACCCCTAGCAAGGATGAACGAGTAGTTGGCATCTTTATCTTTACTATTCGTTACTCTCATCGTAAGAGACAGAGGTGAATGTGACTAGGTATAGAATATAAGATACACGGAGAGGAGCCTTTGGCAGTTGGATCGATTTGTAAGGAGCGTCAAGGCGAACCAGAGACTCTCATTCGACATTTCAAGAAAGACTGACATAACAATCGTGAATCTTTATAATCATAAAAAAAAAAAAAATAAATAAAAAACATATAATCACAGATATGACCAACCATAAACATATTTGCATAATAAACAAGCGAGTACATTGATCTAATATAAGATTAGAAATGATTCATGGGGTTTAACGAAAGATTACTTTTAATATTTCTGGTTTTTCTTTTCTAGTATTTTGTAATTTATGATTTTGGTTGTGTTGTTGTTGTTGAAAAAAGTTGGGTCATTTCTTATTCTTGTTTTTTTTTTTTATCTTTTTTTTAATAATATCTTGCAATTATAGTATATATACAATACTTATAATATCTTGGAGAAACCTTCCACGTGCTATATTTTTTTACTTATAGAATAATTTACTCAATGTCTATAGACAAATTGTAAATTAGAATGGAGTTAAGATAAAAAAAAAAAAAAAACAAAAAAAAATATAAAAAGAAAATAGAGAATCCATGAAGTTTCGGAATCTTCCACGATCGATGCTTTTCTCGTGTAAATTAATGAGTCGGCTTTCACGGAATGTGAACACGATTCTATCTTTGTCCCTATCTCTCTATCTATGTATATATGTATATATATATATATATATATTGTATATCTCTTTCTTTCTCTTCTTAACATTTCGAGTTTGATAGTTATGCGCAAAAGATAGTCTCGCACCGATAACAAGGACTAGACGATCAGGAACACGGATGATGGTGGCCTTTGATCGATCGGCCACCTTTTCTATTTCTTTCTTTTTTCTTTTTTTGTTCTCACATTTTCTCTCCTTATCTTTTTCTTATATCTTCTTCTTTCACGAATCAGCAAAGAAACGCAGATGGTCTTTCGTAGAAACTTGAACAGCATCGTTTACTATTTCTCTTACTACCGCTCCCGTTTTATCCAAGCACTTGTATACTCAGTCACCCATTCAAAGACGTTCTCATTCACTTTCGCAAAATGACAGCGATCGTACGTTTTCTGTCATTCCCTTTCTATCTCTCTCTCTCTCTTTCATACTCCATTTTACTCTCTTTTTCCTATTCCTTTTTATATAACATTCTCTCATCCAACGAAGTAAAATAATTTTTTTCTTTTTTTTTTTTTTACTAGAACTCCTGTGAACTGACATTTATACTTATAGAATTTTTTTTCATTTAATTTCCTATCCTTTTTTTTCTTTTCATTTCATATGATCAACGAGTGTGTGAGAGAGAGAGAAAGAAAGAGGAGAGAGAGAGAGAGAGCACAAGCTAATCCAAGATTACAACTTTTAGTCTACCCTTCCATCCAACGAGAGATTAAATTCTTTTTTTTTTTTTTGATATATTTTTTTGTCTACTTTCTCTCTCTCTCTTTCTATTTCGTAATCCACGATTTCATCTAGCAACTATCTCCGGTTTGAAATTAGGCTAATATCTACTCAATGTCAATCGATATTTGATATTTTTCCTTGAATAGAAATAATCCCTATATTATATTTCTTTTTTTACAAAAGGAAAATCATTCTCTGTCGTTATCAAATACGCGTTTAAACAAAACAAAACAAAACAAAAAATATCTATATATGTACATATATATTTTTTTGATAAGAATGACACACGACTGGTGCTCAAAGTTTTCTCCTATCGTTCATGAGTTATGACAATGAGTCAGATGTTACAATAAACCCACTTGTATTATTTAACATCCTACGTTATTCTTACTTGCGAATATCTATCGAATATATTTGCATATGTATATATACACATAATACTTTATTTTTTTCCGATGAACTAACTTCGTAATAACGATATTGCATTGTAGAAAACCGATAATACGATTAGAAACATTCACTGTTTTATCTACACATGTATATCGTTATTTTATACATCATGTGTTTGTTTATAACATAAGTATGAATATAAATATATTTGGTTGGCAAGAAAATAATTTCGCGGTTATCTTTAATAATATTATATATATATATATATATTTTTTAATACTTATATTTAAATAATATAATATAATATATATATATATATATATATATATATATATAATTTTATAATAATTTACTTACTACCGAAATAACTTTCTTGCCAACCAAATATGTAATGTGTTGAAGAGTATGTATCAAGTATGCATATGTATGTTTGTATGCACGTTTATGTTTATATTTGATGTATGTATATGTATATGTATTTATGTTGATATTTCACGTGTTTCTAAGTATAGAATATAGGAAATACATTGAGGTTGCTTTAACGCATAGACTAGTTGGAATGTTTTACGTGCTCGTCATTTATTAAATTATTGAGATGTGTGCGTTGCAACGTAGAGAAAGTCCATGGCAAGGTCGATGAGCGAATTATTTGATTTGAAGCCAAGCGTGGAAGTAAGAAGTATTCCACGCGCGAAGGAAAGGAAGAAGACAAGGACGAAGGTTGCGAACGACAGTTATGACAATCATGTCATTTCTAAAATTAAAACTTTTATCCTTTTTTCCCTTATCATTTGCCTGTTTTTTTTCTTTCTTCTTATCTTCTTTTTATTTTTTGTTTATTCTTTTTCTTTTTTTTTTTTTTTTTCTTAACAAGGACAACACAATCATTATTTACACACGTGTAAACAATAATTTTTACCTATCGAAAGAAAAATTATTTGTCCTCGAAGTTTTTAGTTTCCTCGATAGAAGAATATTATCTAATCTTGAATAAAAGAAAAAAAAATAAATGGAAAATGATATGTATTTATTTTATAAGAATATATATATATATATATATATATATCTGGGATATCATTTTATTTTATATTCTTTATTATTCCTAATACTATTTATTTAATCTACATATATATATAATTGTTATAGATATAATAGTTATATAAATTATATAAATTAATATATTTTTTTATTATATTATATTATATATATATATTTATTATATTATATAAATTAATAAAAAATACTTTTTTATTAATATTAATTTATATAAATAGTATAATAATAATTTATATAAACTATACTAAATTATATAAACTATTAACTAAATAAAAATTTATATAAATTAGTATAATACTAAATTTATATATATATATTAAATAAATAGTATTAGGAATAATAAAGAATATAAAATAAAATATCTCACATCAGATGATTTAAATATGATAATTTAAAACACGTGTTAGTATTTTTACGTATAATAAAGAACTGTTTCGAACTCGAGAAGTTTTCGAAACTTTTCGTGGAAGTTATTATCGTAGTCTCGTAAAAATAGAAAAGAAAGAAAGAAAAAAAGAAAGAAAAAAGAAATGAAAAAGGATAATTTCTAACACGTGTACAAAGATTTAACTTATAAAAGAGGACTGTGTTTTCTTCTTCAGTTTCTAAACTTTACTTACATACATGCTATCAAATCTTGTAACAACAACAACAACAACAACAACGAAAAAAGTAAGAAGATAATTTCTAACACGTGTACAAAAGCTAATTTATAAAAGAGATAGAGAAAGAGATTACTGTTATATTCTCGAGTTTCTAAACTTTTAGAAGAAGCTATTGACAAAAAATGAGATGATAATCTCTAACACGTGTAAGAAGAGAATTTTTTGTTGCGTAAAACTTATAAGAATCCTTTTTTTCTCTAAGCTTCTCGAAGAAACTATGAAATCTTGAACAAACAAACAAAAAATGATAGAATAATTTGTATTATGCTTACGAATTTTATCGATTCTTCGAAAAAGAAAAAAGAAAAAAGAAAAATAAGAAGAAGAAGAAGAAGAAAATTGATGTATCTTCTATAATATTAGCTTGTGTACACCGAGACCCATTTATAGTCTTATCGTAAAATTGTAGCCCTAAGGTTATAAAAACAAAGAAAATAAAGCAGGTCTTATATGTAAGTAGTTACATCGTTATAAATCGAGAACTAAGAAGAAATATATTACCACGAAGAAAGGACTTTTACACTTTCCCGAACATTATCTTGAACTTAACGACTTCTCAAAGAACTTTCTTGGATTTCAGTCAAAAAAGAAAAGACAAAAAGATTTTATATTGTCAGTAGGGAAGACACTTAAACGTAGAATATCCTAGCTACTCTTTTTGAGAAAACATTTGGATAACAACCATAGTAAAATATTTATATGTGCAATGAAAGAAGAACGTGCTTTTATGAAACGATGCAATTGCAGTTGGTGTTTTACCTAATGTCAACGTCTTCCGTATACTACTGAAGTCAACATTTTTCAATTCAAACAAACAAAAAATGAATATATTTGAAGTAATCTAAATTGATTTATTTGTCAAAAGAAAAACTTACGAGACTTAAACTATAGAAATTGTCAAAAATAGCACTGCCATTAATAAAATTTAACATAATTCAATCTGTTAATATATTGAATATCATTTTTTTTTTTTATTTAAATCGTTATATTCGATTTTAACAGAAAACAACAAACGACTCCTAACTTTTAACCACTAGTGTATGTATTACAATACCCATAGTATATACATATATATACATACGATCAATTGCATGAAGTAACCGAAAACATCTTGGGAATTTCATTGGATAAGTTCAAAGAGTAAAGAAGCAAGCAACAACCCTTCCTAAGTACACTTTTTCTTTGCTGCCCTCGGTATTATTTCCTTTTCACTCTCCCTAAGATGCAGCTGTTACCAATCGACAGCTGTACAACCGTCACAAACCCCTCCTCGTTAAAGCGAGCATCTTTCTCGAGGATGTCCACCACCTGCCCTATCGAAGTATAGCCTAAATTTTGTCTATGTACTTGGTAATTGTCTATGTAGTTATTTCCATATATATATGCATAATATATTCATTAGATTAATACATATAATAGTAGTATTTTATTCTAATTCTAAAAGCATGAAGTTATATGATTTATATTACATTAATATATATATATAATATAATTCTATATATATTATTAGGTTGGCTACTAAGTTATTGCTGATTTTAAAAGGCCACCTATCGACAAAATCCGCAATCATTTATTTGCCAACCCAATAGTTTGGTCAATAAATTCATACGGTTTTTGCTAATTAAATAAATGACCAAAACCGTATATGTAAATTTAATGGTCAAGTTAATATATATTATACTAGCAGAGTAATATAATACAATATATAAATTTAGATAGAAAAGGGACACCAGAAATGTGACGGACGCAAGATTATTAACGTCCATAAAAGGGTCACAAGTTGATACCTTAAATACGACTTTTGAGACATCATTCTCCCCCTTGGAAAAAAAAAAATATAAAAAGGTATATCCACGTATACACGGTGGCAGTTTTAAGAACACGAGGGTCCATACCTCGTTCTCGAAAAAGATTAAGAGAAAAAGAGAAAGAGAGACACGTGTCGATCTCACTTTCACGAGCTAAACGCGCATACCGATGTTGTAACTTTGAAACCCCCTAGAGAAAGAAATAGAGAGAGAAACAGAGTGAGATAATATAAAAGAAAAAGAGAGGGGATGTATTTTCGTCCCTTTCATATACATATAAGTTTTTTGTACATAGTTACATTTGTATGTATATGTGTATATATACGGAATACGAAGCAACACCGTGTCGTCATCCCTGAAAAGCATTCGTGAATTAAATTTGACGCGCATGCGCATAAATACCATACTTACACACGCGCGTAAAACACATATATATCTATATATACATATAAAAAGGAAGGGGGGGAAAAATATAAGTGACGGTACCACGTTAATTAGGGCGAATCTTTAGCCGATATATTTATCGTATACCTATCTACGCGTACTACAACAACAACAACAACACAACACCTGTACGTTTGTATATATGCACCACCCCGTTTTATACCTACTCGTGAATTTGCTCGAAAGTTCAACTTCAAACGAACTGTAATTGCAAATCGTATCGAACATTTAATCGTGTAAATTAGGTTGCGTGTTATTTTAAAATCCCACAACAATATATTCGTTTGTATACCTTTCTTTTTCCCTTATTTATTTTCGCGTGCATTTCTGAATCGTTAGATTATTCATCGAGATAACAAAAAAAGAAAAAAGAAACGAGATTGTATAACTTCGTTATCTAAACAAAAAATCTATCGTTTCGAACGAACGATCGTTAATTTTTCAGGAATTTTGTATAAATAGACGAGTTGTGTGCTCTCGAATATAACGTGCAAAATGCAAAAAGAAGAAAATTAGTTGGAAAGAAAGAGAAAAAGAGGAGTAGAGTTGGAAGAGGAAGAAAAAAGTAAGAAAGAAGAAATGAAAGAGGGAAAGAGAGAAAGAGAGAAAGAAAAGGCCGCTTGCGCGGTCAATGTTGTTACGAAGCTGTAATCACTTTGCAATGCGCATGCGCGCGGATGCAACAGAAACCGGAGCGAGAGTAAGAACGGATGAAAAAACTGGAACGCTCCTTTTTTTCTTCTTCCTTTCCTTTTCTTCACTATCTATCTACCTATCTATCTATCTACTATCTATCTACCTCTTTTTTCTTTCTTTTGATCTTTCTTCGTTTCATTCGTTTTTTTTTATCATCGTAATTATACGCGTATAATGCCAAAGCACACGCCAACACAGTCTCATTCATTGCACGGTTTACTCATTTAATTAAACGATACTTTACATTAACGGACCTATTCTTGAAATAAAAATGATCTTCATTGATCTGTATAATAAAATATCTCGATTCGTTGCCGTATTTACTTTTTAATATTATTAAATTTATAAAAATTACGAACATGAGCAATGGTACATTGCTACATTTGAACAAACTTCGCGGTATACGCGTATACACGTTTTGGCGGGAAAAGTAATTGTTTCAAAAATTTTAACGAGAATTGTGTTCTTTTTTTTTCTTTCTTCTTGTTTCCTAGAATCGATTAAAACATTCTATTCGATTTATTTCGTCGACGTTGCTATATATGGAAGGAACATTTAAAGTCGATCGTTTGCGTTTTAATTTGAAATAGTAATGCAATTGAAAAACTATTCATCGTAGTTTGTAACAACACTCGAAACCGTTAAGTCGCTCCCATATGTGCGTGACACTGACTAAATAGATAATTAACCGGGACATTCTGGCTTCTAGCTAAGCTATTTTATTTTTCTATGCCACAGATGGAATTTCCTCCTCTTATTTTTCCTCTTGCAAAATATTACGAATTACGATGACAAACTCACGTTATTTTCCACGTGCAATCGATCTATCTGCGACTTGTGTAATTTTTTTATTGCAGGCAACAACTCACAAATGGTGTTTTTACATTTTATCAACACGCTATTTTCTTATCTTTTAGATCAATGATATTTATTTTTTATTTCTTTAATTTCGAATAATTAAGATCTAAAATCGATCGTCATGGAAAGTTTTCTTTTTTTTTTTTTTTTTTTCTTAATAGCAGTAATTTGTTAGAAAAGAAAGAGGCCAATGAGAATTTAAATACTAATTGTTTTTAGTTAGATAGTTATTTAGTGTATTCTAGGAAAATAGAAAAGATAAAAGCGTAGTTTTAGGTTAATTAGCGGAATCAACGAAGCTTATTGTATGGCTCGTTCTTAAAGCGAAGTACTTTGTAAATTGAAATATACGATGAATTTGTTAAGTACGCTGAATCATTGAAGCAATCATTAATATTCTCAACTACTTCGATTTTTACAATCACGATAAAGCTTTCTGCTTAGGAACATAAGTAATGAACCGTTATGAATACCAAAGTTGTTCTCGTAAAAAGTAGTAGCTTCAGAGTTGAACTCGTGTGTATGTGTACGCGTATTCGCGATCAACACAATATTCTAAAACAAGTTTATTCATCGAATATAATACCGTATAGTAGTTTATAACTAACTGGGAAAGTGGATCTTTCTAACAATGAATGAATGGAAAAAAGGGAAACGGAGAGTGTGACTCGGACCGAACAATAACCGATGAACAACGTACGGGATGATGAGTCAACGAGTGAATCAACGAAATAGTAATAATAATAATATTAAAAAATAAATAAAGTGAACGTTCGCTATTTGAATAGTCGTAAAGTTCATTGAACGAAGAATCGATTTAACTTCGTTTTAATATTTCGATCGTTCGAGACTATATCTTCGATCAATTAAAGTCGGAATAGGAAGGATTAAGGAATGATTGGGTAGGCGAGTCAATTTAAATCTATCGCGCGCACTAACCTCTGATGATGTTTTGGACCGCAGTCGCGACCCACACCGACGACGGTTAAAAAATTCTTCTGTAGAGACGCAACAACGTCTCCTTCGTCGTCGGAAGAAAAAAAAAGGCCGCTTTAATAACGTTTCTTTCTCTTTCTATTTTTCTTTCTTTTTGTTTCTCTTCTATTTATCGTTCTTCTATTATATATTCAACTTCCGTTTTATTGTATATCTCGTAGATCGTATCAAATATCTCACGATTATAAAGATCGCGAACGTGCCACAAATAAAAGAACCGAGGCCACTAAAACTTTCGTGAAATAGTAGAGAAAACGCGTGTATTCTTGATCGTCCTAATACACGAGCGGATCACACCACTCGCGCGAACGAACGTCGTCTGTTGTGCTTCGCGAACCTACCCTCGTTACCATGGGGAACTGTCGCCGTGCGAAATGGTAGGGGATAGAGGAACGAACGAATATTTCGTTTCGGATATTCTCGGCTATCTTCGGATTTCCCATACCTACTTCCTATCGCGCCACAGTAGATGGCAGAGTTAACCATTTTTACCGCTGACGTCATATAGATCGAAGATTATCTAATACGCTATTCTGATTGATGATTGGTTCTTTTTAAAGTGAATATTGATAAATTCGATTAATCGAAAATTGATGATTCACGATTATTTTTCGTTACGAAAGATTTAAAATAATGATAAATTGGGCAATGCGTAAAAAATTTTTTCGTTTAAAGTGTCGTTAGAGTCATCAAACACTATTATTATAAAATTTATAATTTAATGATTATACAAAAAATAAAATAATCTAATTCTTACATAATCTATAATGTACGTAAATAAAATTCGTTTATTGTTATATATATTTTCTAAACCATCTTTTGCATTCGTTAATATAGTATTTAAGAATGTTTCCTTTTTTTTTTCATTGTTTCAAATAAAATATTAACAAAGTATAATGTGTTTCTGATTAGTATAGACAGTAATTGACTATTTTTAGAATAATGTTTCTTCAGCGTACATAACACACAGCGGACACTATATATTTCAATAATCAAATTTAAATATACCATTCGAAATATTCTTATCTGTGCGCTTGATATGATTACGAACAGTTCTTTCGTTTATATTATCATCACTGTAGTTGCCATGTTTCATGAATTTTTTGTAAATGTCTATAAGCTCGTTCAGAAATATTAAGAGCTGCATTTATTGAACTAAGACCAGGCTCTCCTAATAGGCTCAAACCACATAATCCTACGAAAACAAAAACAATTATATAAATAAGCTGATATAAGTATCGATATTGTGTTATATATCTGTATTATTTTTAAATTTTCTAGTAACGAATAGATAACGTACCTAGATATGTATGTAAAGGATCTGAAGTACAATTATCAAACTTTGCAAATCCACCTACTAATGTATCTTGTGTTTTTAATAGGAATGCTTTATTTTCATCAGGATCTGACAATGATCCAACATCAAGAAGTTGTAATGTTGCACCAATCCAAAAACTATAACAAGTATCAGATGGTTTTCCAGGTCTACCATGAAAACCACCATCTTGTCTCATTAGGCACCAGCGCCTTAATCTATTTAAATGTTCCACGGTCAATACATTATGGAGTTCATTCATAAGAAATAAACTTGCTATTGCACAAAAGGTTGATCCTCCGTGAGACTCAAGTCCAGGACCCTGGCCAATTGCTCCATCGTATGACTGTAATCATTATTAAATCCAAAAATAATACAACTGATTTAATTTACAATCAAACAAATAGATAAATGTCAACTTACAATGCTCCTTAAAATATAATCGATGGCACTTGATTTATTTACACCTGACCAATCATCTAAAATGGCAGAAACGCAACAAGCACAATAAAGAAATCTCATGTCGCTTTCATATCCCATTACAATAGCTTTAAAGGATCCATCAGGGTTTTGACAGGCACGTACTCCTTCGATAATAGATTTTTTATCCACTCTATCTAATTTATCTCCAAGAATTACAAGAGTAACTAATCCTGTATAAGTTGTTGCTAAATGACCGCATTGATACTTAGAGGCCTCTTTTGGTATTGTTGTAGATGCTTGAAAGCCAGAGCGTGATCCCGCTCCTGAAATTTGAAGTCTATAAATCCAGTCAATGACATCTGCTTTCATATCATCTCCAATATCATCCAAAGAATTTAATACGTCTAATCCAGATATAGCAAAAAATGCTATCACCGATCTACTGGAATCTAATTCTGCCAATCTACTTGGCATAATTTGTAATAATCTTTGGAAGTATTTAGCATGTTTCTTTTTTGCTAGTTCGGGTAACATGATTTTTTGTAAATTATATTCCTTATGTATCAAACAAAAATCATATCTCTTCTTTCTTTCTCTTTCTCTGTCTCTGTCTCTCTCTGTCTCTTTCAATTAAATTTGATATATCAAAAAATGTATCCTTTGAACTCGTTGTGCGGACGTATATACATAATATTATTAAATAACATTTAATTTTTTATCTTCATATTTTGCTTGTCAGCAATCCTTACATTTTTTCGATCTATAGATTGTCGACATCTTTATATGCAACCACATTTTTTAATAGTAGAGAAATAAATTCCAGTAAAAGTACTTGGTTTATAATTAAAGACTGTCGATTATCCGATGGAACACATCACCATACATCGTTCTACAATGTCAGCATGCTAATATTTGGGTGCTTTTCAAGTATAACATGAAGACACAGCCATAAGGTATTCGAATTTTCAAAATCTTCATATGAACCATCACGATTGGTCCTTTCTCTTATAGCCTAATAAAATTCATTCTATTGGAGAATTTTTCAAATGACTTAGTTTTATATTGTATTCGCTTTTTTCATTGGTCACAAAAAATTTAGACTTTCATTTGACTTTACTTCGAATTGTATATTTAATTTTGAACTATTAATAATTCTGAATAGTAATATTTAAATTGTACAAAGAAACAAAATAATTATAACAACGTATTACACTTATATCGAAATTTTTCGGTGAATTTATTATATTATATAAATACATATAAATTAATAGAAGGTAAATTAACATTTCATTTAAAGCATTTATTTTTTGCAAAAAATTTTTATAAAAAAAAAAGAAAATGAAAGATCTGAAAAAAAATTCATCACGTGCTGCAACCTAATGATTAAACTCTTTGTTTAACTTAATGCATGTTGTTGGAAAAAAAAATACGGTCAACGTTTCATGAATCATAGGTTATGTAAAGCATGTTCGAGTTTCATAAATAGAAGTCTATTTTTATAAATAATGGCGTTTAATATATAGGACTGATCGATTGGTTATACATATTAGAAGAAAGAAAGGAAGGACGGAAGGTAGGTTTATAAAAATAATTGAATAGATTTCACGGATTGTTATGTTAAGAGGTAGATAGCGCTTCAGAGTTTTATTCGAAGAGAGAAGAAATAAAATAAATGAGAAGATAGAGGGCGTGGGACAGAATCGTTGAACGCACGCGTCACCGGCATCAAATGGTTCCTTCGTACGTACGCCGGACACTCGCCGCAACAAGAACCAGACGCGATAATTTCTCAAACTACATGCGAGATTAGCGAGCGGAGCAATCGAGAGAAAATGAGTAAGTTATTTTTCGATTAAACCGTATATACCTTGCCGCTTCGGGAATATTTTATCGCGTTAGTCGTTCGGTTAGTACGCTAGCACGTTGATTTGCGCGGAGTTAGTACATCGAAGAAAGGCGCAGGGTTAACGGGAGAACGACCACTGAGGGCGCGTCGTTCTCACTATCGTATCGCCCGGCTCCAACGGAATAACCAATCGGAGCCGCGGCAGCGCCGCCATTCTATCGAGTTCGTGGCACGCCCTACAACTTCCTTCATTGTCCTTCTTTCCGGGATTCTCTGCGAGGAAGGATGGCTCAGAACAATTATTTTGGGTTTACTCACGGCGGAACGCAATATGGGTACGAATTCGATTGCCTAACATAATTATTAAGTAGCTAGCGTTAAGTTTAGACAAAAATTAACGTGGGTAACAACATTGGCGGGAATAATAAACGTTTATTAATTTCGGTGCACGCGATAGCACAGCCGGCTTTGGCCGCCATTTCTTAGCTAACGACTAAGAGCGTCCATCGAGCGTCTTTCCCGGGAACGACTACGATCGAGGTCTTTTTTCGTTTACCTCGTTATTCTATCTTCGCGAATTTATAATTTTTATGTGGTTATGATACTTATTTCATTTATTTTATTGTAAACAGAGCAACCAGCGCTGCTGCTTACCAAACCGGCCAAGCGGGGTACGCAGTAACACCAGCGGCAACCGCCGCTACATATACTCAACGCCCGACTGCAGCAGCAGCTACTGGCTACGAAACTTATCAAGCAGCTGCAGCTGCAGCAGCTTCAGGAACTACTTACGCAGGTCAGTTCATAAATATTATTTTATATGATTACCTAACTACCTAGTTTAGCAATTTCTTCTTACACAATGGTCATCCATAACCACGTTGCTTTATGCCTTATATTTTGTTTATAAATTGTTGCCCTCATGGCAAAATATACCAAACTTGCCTAGCAATCAATTTGTTATTATCGGTGACTACTCTATTCATATTAATTTCTATTTCTAATTTTCGATATACTTGTTTTATTTAGCTGCAAATCCTGGAACTGTAGCTCAAACATACGATTACGGTTACGGTAGAGCTGCCCCTGCAGCTGCTTACGACGCCACTAAAACTTATTATCAGCAACCTGCTGCAGCAGCTGCTACTTATACAACTACTGAAACACACTATCAAGCAGCTAAGCCTGCCTACAGTACATCAAGTGCCTATACAGGCGCTGCGAGACAAGCTACTACTACAGGACAAGCCAAAACTTATCAAGCATCGAGTACAGCTTATCAACAATCTAATCCCACACAAAGTGCTACATACTCTTCAGGATACACTGCTCCTGCTACTCCAGCAGCTACACCATCCACAGCGACAAATAGTAAGTTTTCTTTTTTTTGTCTATCTTTTCCTATCTATCTTTTTTTTCTACTCCTGTAATAATTCTATTACTAAATTTTCAAGTTTTCTGTTGACTGTTTACTAACTGTAAAATAAGCATTAATAATATGAAATTAATTCTCTTTAAATTAAAATGGTAGCATAGAAATAGAATTACAAATGCTTTAGAATTTTACGAAATGGTTCGATAGTTTGAAATTGTATCAGGAAAAAAAAGAGATGATACCTGTTATCAATGCGAAAGTTGACTCCTCTATAGTTTGAGGCATCAATTTCATTTCCCTTAGAAACTGCAAGTACAACGTATTCCGGCTACGACGCAGCGCTTTACAGCGCTGCGACTATGTATGTAGCCCAACAGAGTGCAAACAGCAATTCGACTAACCAGAAGACTGGAGGTTGGCAAAGCTACGGACAAAAGGGGTTCAGAACTGGAGGGGGAGGAATGAAGGCAATGCGGCCAAAGCAGCCTCCCAAGCCTCAGCAACTTCACTATTGTGATGTCTGTAAAATTAGCTGTGCTGGACCTCAAACTTATCGTGAACACTTGGAAGGTCAAAAGCACAAGAAGAAGGAAGCTTCCTTAAAAGTTCCACAACAGCCTCCACCACGTGGTGCTGGAAATAGTCTACGTTGTGAACTATGCGATGTCACTTGTACGGGTAATGATGCATATGCTGCTCATATCAGAGGTGCCAAACATCAGAAGGTAGTGAAGTTGCATACAAAGCTTGGGAAACCAATACCAAGTGCCGATCCTACCGTTTTGAATCCAAAACCTACTGCAGCAGCTAAAACAACAGGAACTAAGAAGCCCACTGTGACAGCCACTCCTAAAATTAATTTTGTTGCCTGTAAGTTTGTTTTAGATCATATTATTTTTAATTTGAATAATCTTTAAGGGAGTTATTTTCATTGATCGGGTAATCCAATTTTTTGGGAGAATTTTTTTTTCTCGGAAAATAAAGAAGATACAAAATTTGAATTGGGCTATCATATTTATTGACCTTTAAAGTAAGAAAATATTAAATATAATAATAGAGCATTTGTCAAAATTTAAAAATGGTTAAAATGGCGTTTATTTGAAGGTCATGTTACCAAATGTATGTAAATTGACCAAATTCCTTATATTTATTTTAATCAAATGTTCAAAATTGTTTTATTTTTTTAGGAAATAGGAAGTATTTGTTGATTTTTGTTTTAATAGGTCAAATGATGAAGAAGTTAATTACAAATGAAACAAGTTCCTATTAGAAATTAATCAGTCGATCATTTTTTTTTAAGTTACCAAGGATGCCAGCTCATAAACATGAGTTTTGAAAAAAAAACGCATTCAAAGTTTTGATAGAATGTGAAAGGCCGACACAATATTTCTATTCTTTCATTTACATTTTTCAAACGACCAATATTCTCATCATCCCTCTTTCAAATTAACGAGAAGGTTTCATTTTCTATTCTGATTCTCATTGCTTCATCTTCTGTAAAGTCGACATAAATTCTTCAACGAAAATGCACCGAGTTTTAAATACGTTGCAATTTCAACAGTTTTATTACCACAATATAATGTGTTGTTTAGTTCAAATAATCAGGTTTTGGTTATTTCGAGTGTTGAATCCGAGACGTATTTCCAAAATATTGTTTCTGCAATTAAATTTTCATTTTATCACATTAATCTTATCACAATTTAAGTTTTTTTTATGTCACTTACATAGACTTTCTAATCATATGGATCAAAGTAATGCGGTAGATTTCTACTCGAGGAACTATAGTAATTTATCCATCCAAATATCTTTCATTTTGTCAACCAGTTCTGAATTTATTTATCTGCATAATCGATCCATGATATTATGTTCCAATTCTTAATCACTTTCCTTGTTAATTTCTCCACATGTTTTCCACCTTCCCAATCTGATGTCCCTCTTTTTTCCACATGGCAACAACTCTGCTGTCACATATTGATCACAAATTCTTATCTCATTGTCCCGTTCAAGTAATTTCATTTTAAATGCACTTGCAACAAATCTGTTGTAAAGTGAAACGATTTTCAGTAAAATATTGACCGTTTTTCGTCTGACTTGTACCCGTGAAATTCCACTTTGTGACTTTTCCAAGCCTACATTTACTAAGAAAAAATCGATAGTTATTCGCCAAGAGGTTCGAACGGAACTGAGTTTCTTTGTTCCTGTAGGAAACTCAGATATAGATGGAGTCCTAATACTTCTGCTTGTATTCCCCTTATCAAAGATAGGGTGGGGGTGTTATTTATACAAAAGGGAAGCCTTAGATTCGGCCTCTTACATAGCCGCCATGATGTCATTTTTCGTACGGCGCATGCACACTCAAACATCATTTCTACCATTTCTTTTTCTTTTCTTCGATGCTTAGATAATTCTATTAAAAAAATCAATTAAAGAAAATTAACATGACAGTAGAAAACATTTTTTTTTATTTACATTGATCAATGAGAATACTTCCTTAATCGAATTATGATATTAACTTTGAAATATTTCAGTACAATTTTGTGTTTGATTGAAAATAAGGAGTTTCAATCATAAATCACGTAATCTTAATTTTTAATTACAGCTGGCAACTTAGGTACTGTTAATCAAAATCAAACGACTGAAATAAAAACAGAAGAAACAGTTGCAGAAGAGACTGTAGAAGAAACAGCAGTAGATGAAAAAGATATACAACCAGTTGGTCAGGAATATATAGAAGAGAATAAGTCTGAAGATGGAAAAATCATAAGCTTTAATTGCAAACTTTGCGAATGTCGCTTTAACGATCCTAATGCCAAAGATATGCACATGAAGGGAAGACGTCATCGATTTGCTTATAAAAAAAAGGTTAATCCTGATCTTGTTGTTGATATGAAGCCAAGTCTCAAACAAAGAAAAATGTTAGAAGAAAAATTACGTCGACAACAAATGCGAGATGAATTTATACGACGTAGAGAAGAAATTAATCAATTAGGTCCAATGGGACCAATAATAGACGAGGAAATGATGTATTGGGAAGAACGACGTAGATATGAAGAAGAATGCGAATATTATGAGTGGTATAGACGATATGGACGTGCACCGGGTGCACCTCCTATTCCAAGACCCTTTCCAGGACCACCACCGATGTTGATGTTCCCTGGTCCACAAAGGCGACCGGACTCGTCTGATGATAAACACGTATTAGCTCATCATTCGACTATATATCCTAAGGAGCAAGAACTGCTGGCAGTTCAGAAAATTGTTTCGCATACTGAGAAGGCTTTGAAATTTGTGTCAGACGCATTAGCAGAAGCTGGTAAGATTTATTCTGACTTTGAATCTAATTTACTTGTTTATCATTAACGTCAATTTTTATGATTTTTAATGACATTGATTATCATACATTACAGGTAAGAAAACAGTAACTCCTGCTACTACTACAACCGCTACTCCTACGACACCGACGGCTGCCAATACACAAATCATTGCACCAGATTCTATAAAGAAAGAGGAAGGAGACAAAAAGAAGGTAGCACAACCACAGAAAGAAGATGGCAGCGATGGCAATCTATTCTCATTCCAAAAGGAAAAAGAAGATTCGAGAATATTGCGAGGTGTCATGCGTGTTGGAAATTTAGCTAAGGGACTCTTATTATCTGGCGACAATCACGTATGTCTTGTAGTATTGTGTGCTGAGAAACCTACAAGGTATGTGATATAAATAAATCATTTTTAACAATTTAATTATTTTGAAAATTTGATAGTTGAGATTTTAATCGTTTTTCTTTTAGGACATTATTGAACAAGGTTGCTGAAATTTTACCAGCCCAATTAAAAATCGTATCATCAGAAGATACTTACAACGTTGGAAAACATCCAGAATCTGCTGCCCTTACTGTTTCCGGAGGATCAGTAACAGTCAGTGTAACGCTAACCAGTCCTCTTATGCGTGAAACACCTAAAACAGTGGCAACAGCAGGTGATTTAATTGTTTTATATTTTCATTATGGCCAAGAAAAGGATAGGTCGAAAGGATTTAGTCGAATATCTTATATAATATAAAGAATAATTAATTTTTTATATGATACCACTTCTTAATCGTGCGTGTACACTTATATATATTTCGTTTGTTCTTTTCGTGGCCTTGGAAGAATTTTTATAATTTTCTTAAGCACACCAGGAGAATGCAGGGTGGCAGCCACAAGGACACTTCAACGGTTGCCAGTGTACATATACGTTACTAGCATATAATATATAAAGTTTATTTCTTATTTATCAACACAGCTGCGTTTAGTGTGTCCACGACCGAGATTTATGGCTTTAACTTATACATAACACTTATGAATGTGAATGTAGATGAATTATATATATATATATTTGCATATTATATATTTGTATATATAATACGTGATAATTAAGTAGGTAATATGAATTTATTAACGGAAAAGAGAGAGCGTAAACTTGATACGATTTTAATACGTTTACTTTAATTTATTTCATTTACACTGTTAGCAATAGTTACAAAACTTGACCGACGATAGTTAAGCTAGAGTCTCCAGTATAATAAAGACAGAGTATTAATGGACATTGTTTTAAATGAATACGTGGACACGCTTCTGACATGAGGAAACAACGCTGAGGCAATCTTAAAACTATGGACTTTTTGATCATGCAATAACCATGAAAAAACCCTCTCTGTCATCGAATGCTGTACGCATGTAATGCAATGTGCGGTTTACTTCCTATCCCAACCGATCATTCTATACGGTGGTATTACCTTTTAGTAAAAGATCGATACTAGGAGATGGTACTACCAAATTAAATAGAATCATCGGTCGTTCTTTTAATTAACAGATCATTATTAATATAATCTGAAAAAGAACGTATGTGATTTGGGGTGACACGTGCCGTTGCAATGTACTACATTCGATCAGGCTTATTTTTGTTTTGATGGCATTTTGTAATAGATGCAACCTGTCAAATAGATATAAAAAAAAGAAATAGAAAAATAATAAATTACAGAAAAACAAAAAGAAATAAATAAAAAAGAAAAGCAAATTTACTTAAGTTATAGACACATAATAATAATAATAATAATAATAATAATAGAGGGAAAATCCCAAACTTCTGGGCATGATCAAACACTCTAAGTGTTGTCTAAGCGTGTTGTGCTTTCTTTGTTGGAATCCCAGATAATGCTGGACAGCAGCAACAGGGAGCTGCTCAACCACAAACTACGCCCGCGACGCCAGCTGCGACGAAACCAGATCCACCAGATGTACTACCCAAGGCTAAGTGTTTGGAGGCTTTAGCTGCACTCAGGCATGCCAAGTGGTTTCAGGTTTGAATAAAATAACATCTCAGTTCAAAAGATCTCAAATTGTCGGGTGCCATTTTATGGGCCCTTTTTTCACGCCGATTGTTTTCTCTTATTTTTATCCGAATTAAAAAAAAAAAAAAAACGCGAGACGCGTGCAAGTTCTCCTCTCTCTCTCTGTCCGCAAAACAATACAAGAAAGATTTAAAAAAGAAAAAAAAGAAAGAAAAAAAAAAAAGCAAGGAACAACAGGAACGAAAAAGTTAAAAGAGCAGTCTTAGAACTTCCAGCCTTGTGACAATTTTATTTTTATCATTACCTTCTCGTTATATTATTATACTAACGCGATTCCGTCTGAAACGTCTATTATTCATATTCGATATTTTTTTCAAAATATTTATCCGGTATTAAATGGACTTTGTTCACTGATACGATTTTTAGTCTCTGTATATATTTTTATATCTGTATACATATATATATATATATTTGTATATTTATATATCTAAACGATTTATTCCAAATGAAAAATACAATAATAGAAGGATATCACATGTACCAGTGGCATAGTTCGTTTTCTTACAATTTATATACGTAGATAGATGTTGTATATAATTCTATAACAATAGATATTTATTTTTTTTCTTAAGGGAACTAACCGAATGTGAAATTGGATGATTTCGGGCAAGGAATCTCAAGCAACATGTAAATGTCTAACGTTTTTTATCATTAACATTTACATTTGCTTTGCTTTTATTCGTCGATATCCAGAATAATAGGAAACTATCTTATAGTACATCATTTCTCTCTTTCTCTTTCTCTCTTTCTCTGTTTCTCAAGGTACCATTTCTCATAAGAGAAGAGACAGTTTTGTTTATTTTGTTTATATACTCTACTTTGAATTGCTTTTTGCGATAAGCTTGTTCATTATTCTGGATCAATTTGAATGCGCTGTAGCCTAGACTGAGTCTGTTCTAGGTCTGTCTTAGATAAAAGAAATTCAATTTGCTTATTATCATCTAAAAATATAAATATATATAATAAGGAAAAAATATAAATTTATGTCATTTTGTTCAATCAATTTAAAAAAAAAAAAAAAAATACCGCGTTGATAATATTGTTACACAGTTTTAATCATTAAAGAGACAGACAAGCACAAACACACAGTGGTGTCATAACTATACCGGGTGTTTTTGCGAATAATTCATTATTGATTTAATTTTCGATTTATATACATATTTATATATATATATATTTAGATTAAATCAAATTAAACTCAAGTTTTTCTTATCTCTTTCTATTCCGACATTGAATTAATTTTTTTTCATATTTATGGTAGGCACTTATATGATCCAGGAATAAATATTTGTTAATATAAACACCCGGTAATATTGATATGGGCTAATATTTAGGAGTCATAGGCACGAGGCTGGAAGGATAGCTAAAGCCCACACAAAGCAAATATAAAAAGCTAGTTTAGGGTTATATCGTCACTTCTATCTCTCTTTGAAGACTCACAAGTGATATTGACTCTTATACTTAATTACAATTTTTCATTTGATAATCCTATTCAACAGGCTAGAGCAACTTCACTGCAGAGCTGCGTAATGGTCATTCGCATAATGCGCGATCTTTGTAATCGTGTACCTACGTGGGGACCTTTGAATCCATGGGTTAGTAACTTTTTAATATATAGTTATTATCATTATTATTATTATTATTTACGTATATATGTAATAATATTATATTATAGGCACTAGAATTATTGACTGAAAAAGTAATCAGCACAGCCGGAGGACCTCTTAGTCCAGGTGAAGCTTTACGAAGACTTTTGGAATGTGTTGCTGGAGGAATACTATTACCAGCTGGTCCAGGTAATTAAATCTCTCTAGCAAAGATTATTTTTATTATAAGTTTAACCAAATAATATATATGATGATACTGATGACGAGACATAGCGTTATTATAATACTAATTACTGATCTTGTAGTCGAGTCTTTCGATTACTTGTTTTGGTGTTTAGTAAAATATAATAATGCAGAGATGAATTGGCAATCTGATAAATAAATTTAACCAAAGTAATATAATATTAAATTGATTTGATAAGTAATATAATAAATTATTTATCTTCAATTTCAGGATTATCTGATCCATGTGAGAAAGAACCAGTCGATGCAATAGGTAATATGTCATTTCAACAAAGAGAAGACATAACAGCTTCAGCTCAACATGCACTAAGATTAGTTGCATTTCGTCAAATTCATAAGGTTCTTGGTATGGAACAATTACCACCACCAAAATATAAGGGTAGATTTGCGAGAAAGCGAAGACGGGATAATAGCAATGGAGAAGGAACTGACAGTGAAGCTTCTAAAAAGGACAAAAAAGCTGAGGAGATCAAAATGGAGACTGACTCCAAGTAGATCTTCTAAAAGAACACATTCGCATTATGAATTTACCCATAACTTATATAATGTAAGAGAACTTTCCCTCGTGTCAATTGCTTGTTTAAAAAAGATATATCTATGAATTAGAATGAGACATTAACATAAATAAAAAATGAAACTTGTAACTCTTGCTAGAACAACTTTACAACAAAATAATAATAATGATGATGATGATGATGATGATGATAGTTACAGGTAAACATATTTTGACATAACATAAGATATATAAATTATATATTAATTGTTTATAATTAATATGTAATTTTTAATTTGAACAAAACTTAATTGTTTTTTTATGGAATCTTATTAATTCAATATTCAAACATTGTAATTAGTATTTTATTGTATTTTAAGATGTATCTATTTTGAAATATGGGTTAATAATTCTTTCTCTTGATGTCTCTAGTATTCATTATAGGTTTTGTTTTTTTTTTCTTCTTTCCGTAGTTATATTTTAAGGTTTTTATTGTGAATTTAATAATCAGCTATTATCCTCAAATTCATTCAACGAGATTGACATTTATATTAACGTGCAAAATGTGAGACCATGACCTTCTTATATGTCAAAGAAAAGTATGAAGATGCATGCATCTTCAATGAAACATCTCCGTGATTATATTAGGATTATTATTATTATTATTATTAATCTTTCCCAAACAGGCAATTGGTACGATTAGCGTCAATAATAGGTTTTGTCGAAGGAAATGATGGATGCATTAGTTTTGAATACATATTTAGCTATGTTTCAAAGTTAAATAGTGTAACGATGCAAAAAATTTGGAAATTAATGTGAAAAGCAAAAAATGAAATTAAGTGAAAAGCAACGATGATGAAGATTGGGTGATAATGATGAAGATGATGATAATAATGATGAAGATGATAATGATAATCATAATGATGATGATGATGATAATGATGAGGTTGATGTTGATGTTGATGTTGATAATGATGATGATGATGATAATAATGATGATGATGATGATGATGATGATGATGATAATGACGACGATGGTGGACATTTTTAAGTTTGATGAAGGCTAATTGTAGGTCTAGGATATGCAAAGATTTTGTGTGTATGTTGTGTGTGTAGTCATACATAAGTGCAAAGCAATTCGGCTGCACTGAATTCACTTATTAGCAACAGCATACGACTATTCCACGTAAATTGACTTAAGCAGAAGATTCCAAGAATGTACATTTTATTTACACAAGTCGACTGACGCTTAAAATAGATTAAAATCTGGTAAATTGATAAACTGATGATACCACGAAGCTAATTCTAACGCGTAGTAGAAATAAAAGAATTTCAATTACGAGTTTTCGTAGTTCTATTCTAAATCTTTTCGTACCGGTTATTAAATTATGAAAGAAAAACAAAATTAATTGCCTTTTTACAAATAATATTCCTATTTTTTTTCGTTTCATTGTGTGTATGGATCTTCTGTTGTACTTTGAAGTCATCATTGAATAAATCGACATGCATGATAACAAACATGTAAATTTTCCTTCTTCACTTCTCCACATACCTATGTACCATGTTTTATGAAATAGTTTTTTCATAATATATATATATATATAAATATGTATATTTTTTTTGATAACTGACAAATTTTTTCTAATGCATTACTATTGCACATTTGTATACAATAATTCATAATTGAACTAGTAAGAAGAGGCCACACACACAATAGCACAGCAGAAACATATGAATTATAAAACGATTGAAAAATTAACAGCTGCATATAAATGGAAAAGTTGAAATTATAATTAACAATCTGGTTATTTGACACAAGATGGGATTTCAATTAAAAGTAATAAATATTATCTTTAGATGATGTTAACAATTAGCAAAATATAATATGAAATGGTCAAAGAGTAAGCAAAAATATTTCTCTTGTGCATAAAATTTCAAAGATCATTTAAAAGAAGTTATCTTGAAATTTTTATTTAAATGAAGTAAGAGTAATTGTCAATTAAATAAGATTTTTAATGTACTTTCTTAAGTTTATTTAACAAATTTAATTAAGTATATATATATATACATATATATATATATATATGTTTCAAAACTGTACCAAGATGAACATGGCACTATCATTTCCTATTTTACAGTATTAAAATCTTAAACTTATTTGTAAATAACCAGTGTCTTAGTTTTTCATCGTTTATTTCGCTAATGTATTATCATTCATTGATATCATTTGTTGATGATAATGAATATATTTCCCTTTTCCTCTATTACATCTGCATGAGGACAAAATATTTCAAAATGGAAATAATTCGAATATTTGAACACGCGACTTTTTATAATTCTCATAGTTATCACGATTATTCATTTTTATATACTTGTGTTTATTTGTACTTAATTCTTAAGTATCCGGATAAAAATGTACAGCATTTAGTTCAAGAAATTCTTGAAGTATATGGTATATAGATATATTAGATTGACGAAAAAGAAATTCATTATTTTCAGACAAAAATAATGCATTTCTTTTTGTCCAATCTAATATATATTTAATGTATATCTTTCTTTCTCTCTCATATTTCTACGTTTCAAATAATTTTTTTGTTCATAGATAGTTACATTATAATATTATAAATACTCTTATTAAATTTGTGATTTATTTTAATTTTATTTTAATATTAATACGTAACGTATTGATAACAACAGTGAGACCAAAAGTATTTGTCTAATTACATAAGTATATAAATCATTTTGTTTGTTTAGTTATTCTTGGTAAACAAAAACAGTATAATTAGTGACTTTGTAATGACTTTCATAAATGATACTTTAGGTAAGTATAATATATATATATATAGGTAATTAATTATTTTAAACATATGATTTAATAAAAAATGTAAAAAAATACTTTTGTTAACGTTTCAATGTTAATTGTATTTATTTGAAGAAATATTTAATAATAATAAATAATAAAAATCAAAGAAATATTTTCAGATCATTTTTTGTATCCAAAGCTACATTGTGTTATTTTTATATTTGATTTATTTTTAGTATTCAGAAGTACAAAGAAATATCCGATTTTACTTGGAAATATAAATTGTTATTTTTAAATGCATCATTAAAGAAGCAAATGCATCAACAAACGAATATGAACAAATAAAAATGTATGTTGCGTCATATTTTTGCGACTATTACGATATTTCATGAGTCTACAGTATTCAATGATAATGATTTCCTATTGTATTAGTAATACTTTATATATATATATATATATGAAGTTTTTCGAGATAATACTAGAATATGATTAATGAATTACTTGGAATGATTAGCAATTTTTAAATCGCATGCACATATGCTTGTAGATTGATTTACGTATGAAATATTGAAATATTATTGTAGAATTAAATAACAATGAATCATTTTAATTTAATTAAGTTTTATGATAATATTTAAAAACTAACAAAGAGTCAATAAAAATAGAAAACAAAGGTGTTTACTGTAAAAAAATGTCTTTTTTTCTTTTTGTTGTTTTTGTTGTTGTTGATTAATATTGATTTGCATTCTATGCATACATATGTTATATACGATTATCTATTATATTTATTGATGCCAACGTTAATGCAATTGTATATATGTATATGCAGATATTAAATATTGGTGCAATGTTTATTGATTTATCAAGAGAATGACATTTATTCTTTTGTCAGTTTAACAGCGCTATCTATTTCCGGCCCCCTTAGAAAGACGTTACATAAAAATATTTGGCTAATTAAAGAAGCATAAATTAGTTAATCAAATTTCTAGTTAAACAAGGTAACTAAATATTATATTAATTGATTGATGTATTAAATATATTAAAATTAAATAGATATAATGAGTTAAAAAGGAAAGTATAAGATATTAAACGATACACCATTTTTCTTTGTTTGATAGTCCAATACGATGTTGCTACGCAAACGGTTTCTCGAGCAACCAAGTACGTTGTGATCCAATCAGCTTTTCCCAAGAATTTTCTCGAACCAATCATAAGCAGTTGCTGCGTCATTCCGTCTGGGCTATATAAAGGAAAGAGATTGGAATTTCGGATTAGTTCTGTGAAAGTCGTTAAAGATACTTGTTGTGAATTTGTTTGCAGTGGCATATTTGAAAAATTATCTTTGATTTTTGCAAAGCTACGTTACATTTAAATTAGGTGAGTTTATTTGTTCAAATTTCAAATTTATATTAATAATTATATATTTTTTATAAGCTATTATAATTGAACCTATTACATGTTCTATGAATTTATATTAATGTCATTTGTATGTCAATTGTGTTATAAGATACCGTCATGCGACGTTTTTTTTTTTTATATTCTTTTCTAATATTAAAGCGAATAATAAATACGTTTAAATTATTACAATACAATATACAACATTTATTATGAAATAATTTCAACTCTTCCTAAGAATCATATTAATTATATGTGTAATTGATTATATATTATATATAAATAAAAATACATTATTTATCATATATTATTAAAAAGTAAAAGAAACTATTGTAATTGACAATGGGCAGGTAAAAATCGATTAAAATTAGTGCGCAGTAACAGAAAACAAAATGGCGGATATTGATCCAGACAGTGACGCAACTACGTCCATATTAGCTTCGTTGTCTTATGACTTTCCATACGAATACGTCGGCCATCTTGTTGCTCAGTTGAACTAACTATATTTTCATTTCTTCTAAATAGCTGTATGTAACTTCAATTTGATTTTAATTGTGACGTTGAATTTCTGTTTTTAGACAATATGCAGATCTTTGTAAAGACTCTGACGGGTAAAACCATAACCCTCGAGGTTGAAGCCTCTGATACTATTGAAAACGTCAAAGCAAAAATCCAGGATAAAGAGGGTATCCCCCCAGATCAACAAAGATTGATCTTTGCTGGAAAACAACTTGAAGACGGGCGTACATTGTCTGACTACAATATCCAAAAAGAATCCACTTTGCATTTAGTACTTAGACTGAGAGGAGGAATGCAGATTTTTGTAAAGACTCTTACTGGTAAAACCATCACTCTAGAAGTTGAGGCATCCGATACTATTGAAAATGTAAAAGCAAAAATTCAAGATAAGGAAGGAATCCCTCCAGATCAACAAAGATTGATTTTTGCTGGTAAACAATTAGAAGATGGACGTACATTGTCTGACTACAACATTCAAAAAGAATCCACTTTACATTTAGTACTTCGTCTTCGAGGTGGTATGCAAATTTTTGTTAAGACTTTGACAGGAAAAACTATTACTTTGGAGGTGGAAGCATCAGATACTATTGAAAATGTAAAAGCAAAAATTCAAGATAAAGAAGGAATCCCTCCAGATCAACAAAGATTGATCTTTGCTGGTAAGCAACTAGAGGATGGGCGTACACTTTCAGACTACAACATTCAGAAGGAGTCCACTCTCCACCTTGTACTCAGACTGCGTGGTGGTATGCAAATTTTTGTTAAAACATTGACTGGCAAGACTATTACTTTGGAAGTGGAAGCATCAGACACAATTGAAAATGTAAAAGCAAAAATTCAAGATAAAGAAGGAATCCCACCAGATCAACAAAG